GGAATTTCCATATATGAGAATTGCACTCTTGCAGTGAAGTTGTAGTTTTCTGAGATGGAGTTGTACTTTGTGCATGGCGTGTTGTGATAAGCTCGATCTGTAAAGGATTTGCTTCGTATTTGCCTTTGGTCTAATTTAGTTTGCTTGGTATCTAATTCAGCAATTTATACCATGCTTAATGCAATCATTTTATGGTTTTCTTTTTCAAACCATGCTTTTACTAATATGGTTGTTTTGTGTATGACTATAAAATCGTGATATATAAGGATTAATATGTGTAGTTTCCAGAGAGTTGTACTCTGTGCGTGGTACTACGCTCTACTTTCAATAATTTGACTCCTTTTAGATTTAGATTTTTCAAAACTTGAGTTCGATTTGATTATCTTAATATAGCTTTGAAGAACATAGCTTAGAAAACATGTATATATTAGTTAGATTTTGTTTTCTTCTGTATTTAGCTTGAGAATATGAGTTAAAACTCTCTATAGCTTAGAAGATGATTTAAGATTTCACAATAAAACTAAGAGCAGCCTCTTGCAGGTGTGGTTCCATAGTTGTTTTCGTTAATACTAATTACCTATTTAACATTTTGTAAGGAAATAATCGACAATTTCAAATTGTTAGTATAATAACCAATAAGAGTGAGAAGAATGACAATGTTACAACAACATAGTAGTATGTATATGCCTATTTTTTTTGCATACCAGTGAAAGATCATGAAATTTGTCTAATAAAATTGTACTAGAGAATCAACAGGGGATGAGAGACCTTGTGTTTTCTGCCATTGCTAGGTGCAGTAACATGGCATCTTGTTGACATTTCTCCAGGAAGCCTCATCTTGTCACTTCACCCAGTTTCCAATATTCTATAGCCTCTTAGATTCATTATCCAATGATCTGATGTTGCTTGCATAGTAAATGAAATACCCAATATCTTGCGCAATTGTCTGGATCAATAAATCTATGACCTTTTCCACAACTTGAGAGAAGAATTAGAACATTCCAGTTCGTGATGGATTACAGTAAAGTTAGTAAAAAGTATTTAGATGGAGTAGCAATCTTTTAAAACCACACATTTTGTGAAAAACTTAATAAAGGAACAATTTCATACCCCTGTGTGATATACTATCAAGTAAATCAGGCAATGGCATATGATAATCTTATGGTTAATGGTTTCAGCGTCATATGATACTTGATTTTGTCTTGGAGGGTCTTCTGATTCTAATTTAAGTAAGGATGGTGTTTGTTCCCTGATTTGTTTCTTCAAATTTGTACCCTTGATTTTCCTTCTACAAGTTTAAAGAAAAATATAGAAGTAGTTAAGTTTGAAGTATGAATTATATGAACTAGAGTTGGTAGCAGATTGATAATTGAACAACGTCATGATGAAAGCTCAAAGTTTCTTTCAACCCCAAGCATCTGAAGATAACAATTCTATTGACATTGTTGATGAACTGAACAATGAGCTAGGTTCTCTCTTGTTTTATTGATGATAAATCTAGTCAAGTTTGGAGATGTCTCGGGTAGTTATAAAAAGGGAAGAAGCTACTATTACTTGGTTTCTACTCATTCATCTGGTCCAATATATATTTGTTGAATTATTGGTCATTGTTTATATCAAGCATATAAATTGTACTTAATTCTTTCTTTGTTGACTGCCATAGAGTGAGTTCTAAATCTATTTAAGGTGTTTCAGAGGCAAGTAAAGTTTGTGGACCTACTTTATTAAAAGTTGTTTGGAAGCTACACTTGGGAAAGACAATTGTTGTGCAATTTAATAGCCGTAATCAATCAATTGGAAAAGAGGGTCAAAAGCTTGCTAGCTTTCTAGGCATTATTGCTAAAATCCCATATTTGATACCGTTAAATGCAAATGATTGGCAAGTGTTTGACGAAGAAAAAAAGATAAGATTGGTGGAGTTTGTGAGGGTATGAAAAAATTATTCTTAACAAGTATCATTTCTTTTTATTCATGATATCATCTTGTTAACTTTTGTCTATCTTTTCCGAAAAAGTTCTCAATTGCAATACATGGAGAAGAGTTCGTAAAAAAGTCAATAGGAAAAGAATGGAGGGACTATAAATGTTACTTAAAAGCTATGTTTGTGACCAAATATAAGACCAAAGATGCCTTGATGAAAAATAGACCAAGTCACATACCAAGAGATCAATGGAGTGATCTCGTCTCGTATTGGTTTTCTGAAAAAGCAAAGGTTAGTGATAGTTTTATTTTATTAGTACTAACCTATTTTTATTGAATTCTGTCACTATGTATATCCAAATATGTTTTGAACTAATAAATAGTTGTACTATCTTAAAATGTGACTTAGCACCCAATGATCCCCATTTCTTTGAGGCAGTATGACCATATTGCAGTAATATAAGCTGATGCCATAAATAATGTAGAAATCTGGAAATATTTGTGGTAATCGATCACATCTTTTGGCACCTGCTTCTTGTAATGCTGTGATGATTGCAATAGCACCATAGTTACTTGCATCTGCTTCAACTACATCTAATGTTGTATATCCTTTTTGATTCAAAACATTTACTTCAACACCAACCTTATGTAGATAAATAATCATCTGAAGAGGGAAAAAGTCATGTATACAAGAAAATAATTAGTTTTGAGCTTTTATATACATAATACAAGTATATTCTTTAAGCTGCTCTTTCTGCAAACGAAGGTCATTATCTCAATTTATCTGTCAGTTTGAATTTTGACAGCAAAAAAACATGAATAAGAAAATCAGCAAGATCAAATATGTTTCTTTTATACTCAAAAGTTATGCTAAACAAGAACTGATGTTTTATTTTCTCATTCTAGAGGCGTAGTCAAGTAAATAGAATTAGTAGAGCTAAGCAAAATATGCCTCACACGGGAGGGTCCAAATGCATAGCAACCTTGATGAATGAACACATTACTTATTATATTATTTTACAACTCGTTTTGATCATGCCTTATTTGTTTGGAATCAATGTTACTTGATTAGTCTATAGATGGAATAGAGCCTACACATGCAAAGTCTACATATTAACTAATACAAAACGCAAAGATGATAGACCATTGGGTGAGGAGTCTTCAAATGCAGTTCTAAGATTTCTTGCACTTGTAAATTTATAAGATTAAAGTATGGGTTACTGATAGCACATGAATTGATTATCATTTATCTTGTCATAAATTTTAGTCTTAATTATTCTCAGAACATGATGAAAGAGAAGTTGAGTAATGGCGAGACATCTGAGGAACAATCACGTGGCAATGTTTCTTGGGAAGGAGATGTGTATTCTCAAGTACTGGGAAATGAAAAATGTGGTTATGTCCGTGATTTAGGACTTGGCCCAACCCCTTCTCTGTTATAGGGCAGTAAGTCTTTCTTATGAAATGTTGTTGATGATTTATGTAATGAGGCTGCACATAAGCTAGAACAAGAGATAAATGAGTTGAACAAAAACAGGATGAAGAAATGTCTTTGATGAGAAAAAATCAAGAAATGCTAGTTTCAGAATTATCATGGATGAGACAAGTTATGTGGAAATATGCTCCTACTGAATTAAGTCGGCCTCAAAACAATGGAAGCACTACTAGACAGGTTATCTGATTCTAAAGTTTTAAATTTTTGCTCTTAAAATTTAGCTTCACAAGAAAAATTTATCATCTAATTTATTGATTTTAATTAGGTTTCTGATGCCAATAGTGGCAATGAACAAACAATATAAGCATGGCTCAAGTCGTTACTGGCCACAAATTCTTTCTACTCGTAGGGTAATCACTTTTACCATATGTGTGATTCTTTATTTGGTTGTGTTTTTTGCAATTATATGTTATCCAGAAAATTTGTACATTGTAAGTGTACCAAAGAAAGTAATCTCTGTTGCCAATGCATAAACTTGATAGACTTACACAAAGGGTAGCCATAGAAGAAAAAAAATAGTAAAGGAATTTAGACAAAATTATCATGGGTATTATAAGAGCTTTGGTGGTTCTCAGAAGACTGGATAGGGAAAGTCTATTCGGGGTAGTGTAAGTTCTTTTCTTTATTCAAAAACATATATTCCCTCTATTTAACTTGTTCTATATCAGTGGACTAATCACGTACGAACATCGGTGGAACGTAGCTTAACATTAGATATTTTTTGGCTCACTATACATTGGGTTTGAACACACCATGGAAACTGATAATTTCTTACATTTTAATTTGTGTTTATAACAACTCATGTCTGATTACGCTGCTAGTTATCTATTAGAATGCACTTTAATTTGTGTTTATAGCATAAACTTGTTGCCTTTCTTACTTCCTTCTTCTCTGAGAAGTATTCTCTTAGTGTTAGGAATAATAAAAGAGTGTGTACAAGTAACCGATGATTTCTTTATATTCAAATTTTTGAAATGTGTGGTGAGAAGTAGGATATTTATAGATAAACTGGTGTATGTTTTGGATAATGTGTAGAGCTGGCCAATCTAAGTGGAACTCAATCACCAATATGTTTATCTACTGAACGGTGATCCAATCTCTTCATGTATAATTCTTTCTTGTCGTGAGCCAATCAAGTTCATTGCTAATTTCAGTTATTGTTTTTATAGTGGTTTGGCCGGGATGATATAGAAAAATGAGAAATTGCATGGATTGTGGAAAAGAATTGTACTAATTGTCTTGATTTAGATTGTCATCAGCATATCATCTGTGACATTGGTCGTGATCCAAGTTTCCATAGTTTGACTGGGGAAAAGGAAATAATGGTTCAATCTCTTTTTTTGTCTATTGTTGAATAAATTTTCTTTTTATTGATTACTTGACTGCATTCTTATTGTTTTGAGGATTCATACTTTTCTTACTACTAGAAGACAAATATTGGATGTATTGATTGTTTTTGTTTGGTAACTAACATTTTTATTAATTACCTGAAGCAAAAACATTACAATCCAAGTAGCTATCACATCATACTTTGTTCTCAAATCTACTCTCATCTAACTACAACTTTAACACTACATCCTATTACTTAGAGTTTAAATTCCATAACATCTTTAATGCTAGTTGGAGCTCTAGAAATAGTCACATAGGCTATCTCTTTAGCTACATTTTCCTCCGTTTTGCTCTTTTTCTCAAAAATTCTGATATTTTGCTCAATCCACACCCCATAGACCCCTTCAACCAAAATAATCTTGAATATTTGGGTGGTTGTAGTCTTCCCCTTTCCATGTTTATTGCCCCATTGTATAAACTGTCCCCGTGTTCTTAGAATGTCATTATGACGATGGATCCATGTAAACAGCCTTTCCCACAATTTTCTTGCAAATTGGCGTTGTATGATCATGTGCTCTATAGTCTCATCTGCATTCTTATATAGGACACACGTTTTATTTGATTCCACTCCCCATTTAGCTAGCCTGTCCACTGTTGCTAACTTCTTGTTAAACATGAGCCATATAGTGAAATAAGCTTTTGGTCTTGCTGTATTCTTGAACATGAGACATTTCCAGTCAGGCCTTTGATGCTCTCCCATCATGTACAAATAAATTTTTCTGGTCATGCTCCCTTTTTTGTCCCTCATCAGTTGTGTTTGAACAATTATATGTTTAGCACTCATGACTTTTCTTATCATCCGGTTGCTTGTTTGGACTCTGGCAATGTACTCTACCTCTTTATATAGTATGTACGTATCCATCTGATCCAAAGTTTGTCCTCTTTACTTGCTAGATCTCAACATAAGTTGGCAACTGCTACTTTGTTTTAGACTTCCATATTAATCAGTCCCATGCCTCCTGCAGATTTAGGACAACAAACTCTCTCCGAAGCAACTAGTGCCTTTTTAGTGACATAAACAACACCTGACCACAAATAGCTTCTACAAAGCCCTCAATCAATTTGATTATCTTTGCAAGAATAATGAAAAGTTATGCCCAGTATGATTGAACTCCAAACAACACAGTCTGTACCAATTGTGTTCTACCTGTATATGACAATTCCTAGATGTCCATGAGTTGATCCGGGCCATGATTTTGTCAATGAGAGGATACCGTTGTATTACTGTCATTTTCTTAGTAGAAATAGGCACCCCAGGTACTTAAAAGGTAGTTCTTCCATCTTGTAGCCAAGTTGTTGTTTGATTTTCTTGCCTCACCTCTAGCTGATCTCCCCCAAAATAAATGAACTTTTGTTGAGATTGTCTTGCAATCTTGAAGCTTGTGAGAAGTGTGAGAAACATCATTGGAGGGCCTTGATAGAATTTAGATCTCCTCTAGAGAAAAGGAGCAAGTCATCTGCAAAACATAAATGAGTGATGTCCAGTTTGAAGCATTTTGGATGATACTTGATGGTTGTCTCTTCCTTGAGTCCCTTGAGTAATTTACTGAGATATTCCATAGCTATAGCAAAGAGGAAATGGGACATTGGATATACTTGTCTGAGTCCCTTAGCTGTTGCAAAATTCTGTGTAGCCTATCCATTCACTACTATAGAATAACTCGCTGTTCTCACACAACTCATTACCCACTGTGTAAACATATCAGGAAATCCCAATCCATTTATCACTTGCTTTAAATACTGCCACTCCACTGAATCATAAGCTTTTTGGAGATCAATCTTCATCATGCTTTTAGGAGAAACGTTCTATCCTAGTATAGGCTTTAGTAAATTCATGAGCTAGTAGCATAATGTCTGATATCTTTCTCACTAGTATGAAACTAGCCTGACTATCACTAATGACAGTATGAATAACATCATGCAATATTTTTGCCAATACTCTAGAAATGATCTTATACAACACAGTACAACAAGCAATTGGTCTGTATTCTTTCAGAGTTTTGGGCTTTGTACCTTTGTGATAAGAGTTACTAATGTGCAGTTGACAGGCTTGTATAGATTTCCAGTTCTGAAAAAGCTCTGAACAACATCAATAGTGTCCTTTTTAATAGTCTTCCAAGTATACTGATGTATTGTTTGTTCTTGTTTTATATAAATGATGATGTTTGAGTTTGATAATTTTCCTTTTTCTATCGTTGAATTAATTCTCCAGTCAAATATATGAATTAAGGTGAACTCATGGTAACTTACGTTTCAATACTAATTGCCAATAAAATAGGTCTTCTTTACTGGCAATGATTGTAATTTTTTTGGTAATAACAAATGCCACAAAATATGGAAGTTTTACCTGCAATAATAATTGCCACTATAAGTGATTAATAATTGCCACTAAATAAATACCGCAAGAGGTATTTATTTTTAGTGGCAATAATATGGGTCTTTACCGACACTCTAAATAAATGTCGCTAATGGCTTTAGTGACACCGGATGCAATGGCATTAATTTAATTGTCGCTAAACATTTTTGCGGCAATAAAAATTGCCGCTAAAAGGAAAATTAAATGCCACTAAAAGTCTCTTTTGGTGTAGTGGCATGAATCATAAGACGAGCAATATCCATATCATGAACAAGCATAGTTGTACGACATTCTTTCACTACCAAATCGGACACACCTGACATAAACTTACTCATTCTCGACCTAGAGTTGGCCACTATAGATAGAGCATACTTAGATAATTGGGTAAACCTCAAGGCATATTCCTTAACACTCATACTACCTTGCCTAAGGTTAATGAACTCAAGCACCTTAGCCTCTCAAATCTCTAGAGGGAAGAACCTATCATGAAAATCATTTTTGAACCTCTCCCACTCTTTAAGACACATTTCTAAAGTTCTTGCTTCTTTCCATTGATTAAACTAAACTTGAGAAACCCCCCTAAGTGGGTAAGCGGCTAATTCCACCTAATCTACCGGAATAACTCCCACAATATCCAACACCTTATGCACCACATCTATAAACTCTTAAGGATCTTCCTGAATCTTTGACCCATAAAATTCTGGAGGGTTCATCCTAGTAAAGTCCCTCACTCTTGTAACCGCCGTACCAATATTTGGGTTCTTGGGGACTACAACCTCCCTATTGTCTTGGGCCGTCACGACTTGAGCCAACACTTGAAAAGTTGATCTAAACTATGCATTAGTCACATTCTCACCCATAGGGTCAACTGGAGCTTGTGGAGCTTGCGGAAGAGCTTTTTGATCTACATTGTCTACCTCATTCCTTCTAGCATTAGCCCTTGTAGTAGCCATATCCTGAAAACCATTAGGTAAGGATTAGAAGAAGGACCTTATAGAGTTAAACTCTATGGCACGACTTAGAGTAATGAAGAAGTGAGATTTCCTAAGCATCTCATAGTCTGTCATTCATAAATGTGGCGCGCTTCACACTTATGAACAAGAATCGACTAGACGTGGTTTTGAGACGTCCTAGAACCATTCCAAACTTGTGCTTTGATTACCAAATTTGTCACAACCCATGGGTACCCCTTAGATGTAACAAGGTGTCACGACCCAGACCATCGTGATTGGAACTCACACTAACCCTCCGGTTGGAGAACCATTACTACTAACCAACTAACCCCAAAACTAATCAAAACTAGAGTATTTAAAAATACGGAAGAAGGTTTAAATACAAAAGTCAAATAGAGTTCCCATAAACTCCAAAAGATCTAACAACGACGAACAAAACGTTGCGGAAATTATTCCCTAGAACTTGAAAGTCAATGTAGCAAAACTCTAATAAGGAACCATAAGTCTAAGGAAATGGGTAACACCTAATTAAACATAAGAAAATCTAAAGTACTAGTCTAAGTCTGAATAGCAATAGACTAAACATAACGAGAACTCATGGAAGACTGAAATAACTGGCTCACCCTTGAATTCGAGTCGATCACTGGTCTTCTAAATGAGGTCTTTTAGTAGCCGCTTGAAGATGCACTGTACTCAAAAAAGAAAGCGCTAGTGCAATATCAGTACACAACCACAATGTACTGGTAGGATCACATAGCTATCCCAATAAGTGAAACATATATAAGTCATTACAACATCATAAACATGCATAAACCGATCATAGACAACATCAATTTTCACTTTCGAACAACGTACAATTTCATAATCTCAAAGATATACATATATGCCAAGTCATTGGTCCTCTCACAAAACCCATATCCAAACTGTTAATGTACCGGTACGTGGTACCCAATCCACGTTACTAGGTCGGATCGTGACACCCGTTCCAATATGTATGTCGGTACGTGACGTCCGATCCTTGTTACTGTGTCGGAACATGAAAATTGTTCCATTCAACATACCACAATCACAATGTACGTTTTCATAAACATACATCAAAAGGTGATTCATGGCATTTAGTTATTCGTTCATACTCATTTACATTAGGTGTGATCAATAATGTAACATTCGCATACATATATGCAATACAATGAAGGAATTACAAATTATATCACACAAACATGAAATCACAACCATCACCTACCTCGAACAAAGCTTGAATCCTCCTAAGAAACTTGATTATTCCTTTTCCGGATTCTTTTAGCTTGCTCTAGCTCTACAAACAAACTATTCAATACGGGGATCAATAATTAAGGTCTAATTATCCCAAATGATGACAAACCCAATAACTCAAGACCCAAATTATGATCCTAAGGTGAAGCTAGGGTTTTTCCGCCATCTAAAACCGTTCAAAACCCTCCCTTAATGATATACAATCAAGATTTTATGTTTTACGGATCAAAAAACGAAATTGGGGAGTGAAAACCTTACCTTCAGCACCAAAATTCGTGGAAAACTGTCTAGAACTCGTATGGGGCCATCTCCTAGCTCTCAAAAATGGAAATTACAGAACAATGGCATTTTTGAGGTTTATTTTTGACATAAGTCGCGACTGTCCCACCACAGCGGACCTCCTCCCGCTACAGCGGCCCTGCCCTGGGGGGAAATCTCGCCTTGGCGGCTTGCATGGAAACTGTGAGCTAATTTAAGAATTCCAAACCCCCATTTCACAAAACATCTTTTTCCCATGACACTCAGAAAATACATGTTCACGCTAAGATCAGTTTCAGAGGTTCTACTGGCCCTAATTCGATTTCGTTAAGTCATATGGGTTCCTTAACGTCTTAGCTATCTACTCATGTGATCAAATTCATAATTAGATCTCCCATTTGTTATCATATTTCCTTAGACCTCACTAACTCCGATTTCATCCAAATCTGGACTAGGTTGGGAAATTTCAAGTTACTACCAAAAAGTTTTCTGACCCAAAAGTTTTCCCTGTTGGCTTTTCTATAATGAAGGAATTGGTCGTTACAATAGATATCAATTTACCCATCACTCTTCCCCGAGTGACAATTTAGGAAAAATGGGCTAAGGTGAGAGTGGAGTAGTACCCGAATCAACGAACAACTGGGATACTTGTCTCGCATGTCCTTCTTGATTTCCCAAGAAGATTCCTCAACTGGACAATGCTTCCATTAAACTTTCACGGACTTAATCTCCTTGGTCCTCAGCTTCTGGACATCACAATCCAAAATTATAATCGGTTATTCTTCATACTAAAGGTCTTTGCCTAACACAACTCTGTCCCATTTTATGATGTAATCCCCACCTCCATGATATCTCTTCAAC